ACCCAGAGGAGGCTACCACAATAAGCTTAACTTCTTACGCTTATAAACGTGTCATGTGTCACATGGTTAGTTCCATTATGGTAACAAGAGGGATACACTGAATTTTGACCACGAATGACATAAAATAATTATATAATTCACAATATGAATTAGGTTTGGAAATACATTTTTTAAATGCATCTTATATATACATACACTTACGTATGCACGTGTTAACTATCAGGTACCTTTAAAGAAACAGACAGTGATGAGAAATGATATAAAAACATTAACTTTTTATGTGTATCTCAGGAAATCATATAAATATATTAGGTAGTCAAATTTATTAGGCACTAATGGTGAAGCTGGGAGAAAGACATACTCTTGAGCAACTTTACAACATTCAGATTGGGCATAAGATGCACGAATCATTGTGATGAACATTTAATTTGTTTTGGAGTAAAATAGTGATTCTGCTGTGGTAAAGTAATAATTGTTGGCTTCCATCTGCTTTTGTGAGAATATCTTTTATTGTAGTCAAAACATAGGAAGGATTTGTAGGTCTAATGATACTGCATTTTTATGCATATTTGGCCATTTCCAAGTAGGCTCTAAATAAGGACCTTCCTTTTAAAGCAGAATAACTATAATAACAACAACAAAAACAAAAATCCCCTCACCTCCTGCCCTTGCCCTTCTCATCTCATCTCATCTCATCAATATACTGCTTTAGCTCTAGAAATCCATCTGTAATTAATGAACTGTTTTGTGGAATTAATTGTTTCTCCAGATTTTCAGCCTTGCAGAGAATATACTTAGAAGCGATCAACAAACAAACATGGCGTGTTTTTTGTGTTGTCAACCCCACTAAATCAAAATTAAGAAAACATTGGTATTTTACAGGTTAAGTACTCTGAGCATTATGATAGTAATGAGACATTTGCAAACAAGAATAATGAGAATAGTGGAAAATTTCACTTTAGATTACATCAAATGGTGACAATAATACTGTGTTGAAGGATTAGTTTTAGTTCAAGTCACTGTACATATTGCATCTCTATATGAATAATACCAATACAAATAGATCTTAGTTGTGCTTGTGGTAGATCAGTTGTTATTTTGGTGTAAATTTTTTTTAAAAAGTAAGATTAAACCACCACAATTTTTAAAAAAATGATTGTGGTTATTGCTTGTTGAGTTATGATGTAATATAAAATTTCTCTTACACTAGTTAGAATGGCAATCATTAAAATGCCAGGAAACAACAGTTACTGGGGAAGATATGCAGAAATAGGAACATTTTTACACTGTTGGTGGGAGTGTAAATTAGTTCAACCATTGTGGAAGACAGTGTGGCAATTCCTCAAGGATCTAGAACTAGAAATGCCGTTTGACCCAGCAATGCCATTACTGGGCATATACCCAAAGAATTATAAATCATTCTACTATAAAGACACATACATATCACACATGCACCCATATGTTTATTGCAGCACTATTCACAATAGTAAAGACTTGGAACCATCCCAAATGCCCATCAATGTTAGACTAGATAAAGGAAATGTGGCACATATACACCATGAAATACTACACAGCCATAAAAAGGATGATTTCATGTGCATTTCAGGGACGTGGATGAAGCTGGAAACCATCATTCTCAGCAAACTAACACAGGAACAGAAAAACACCGCACGTTCTGACTCATAAGTGGGAGTTGAAAAATGAGAACATATGGGCATAGGGAGGGGAATATCACGCAGTGGGGCCTTATCAAGGTCCAGGGGCAAGGGGAGGTATAGCATTAGGGGAAATACCTAATGTAGATGACAGGTTTATGGGTCCGTGGCACATGTGTACCTATGTAACAAACCTGCACGTTCTGCACATGTATCCCAGAACTTAAAAACTATTTAATAAAAAATAATAAAGCAAATAATCTGTCTTTATGTCAAATAGAAGTGTCTGGCTTTCAACTTGATTTTTTAAAAATAAAGTAAGATTATGTACCCCACCAAAATATATTCTTACATTGTAAAACTTTTTTTAAAAAGGAGCATGAATACAATTATCTATAGGATCTCGATTGGAGTCATGTAAAAATCTTGGTGACTGGTACCTGTTTAAATAACCTATGTTTAATCCTTAGCTACATTAAGTACTAGATGTAATGTTTAAGTAGAATACTAGCAAATAGAATATCCTTTGTCAGGATCCTTTACCAAGGCTGGTCCCTTTTTTTCTGGAATATTCACTTTATGAAAATGATGTGTCTCGTAATTTGGGGGTAAGGGAGTTGTGAAGAGCTGAGGAAGAAAGAGGCCCCTGCGTCTCCCACTGAGTCAGTCAGGGTTTGTCAACCTCCACACACAATTGATGTCTCAGCCTAAATAATTCTATCTTGAGGGAGCCTGCCCTGTGCAAGGTAGTATGTTTAGTGGCATCCTTCACATTGACTCAATAGATGTCGTCCCTCCAGTTGTGACAAACAGAAGTCTTTTCAGAAGTTGGCAGGCGTGTATAGGAGAGGGTGGTGGGGGGATCACTCCTGGTAGAGAATCACTGAATTAAAAGAATGAAATGATGTGGCCAAATTACTACCCCTCCCCGTGACCACAACCACCACCACCACCAGTGTATAAAAGAGCTCCTGGTTATCATAGTTTACAAAATAAATTGTCCACCCTGTAAGTTTGACTTTTAGAACTTTTCTTATTAAGCCTATAGTTTTATTCTTTTACTTTTTTTCTTTTCTTTGTTGTTATTTTGTTCATTTTCTTTTCATCTTCTCAAGTCTTATTTCCTCCTAATATTAGCCTATGTTAAAGTTTAGTTAAACCAATCTTAAATAGTAAATATGTCTCCACCTTTCCTTCTTTCTGTAACTTATTCCTATCCTGGGTGTATGTGCCTATCGGAAAAATCAGAACAAGCAACCATAATCCGATTATAACATCCATGCTATTCCTAATGGCTAGAGGGATGTGCACCTTAAAAACTGAAGTTTGCTTACTCTTTAAGCTCAACCCCGCTTATGTTGGTACCATGTTTCTCTGTGATAAATTCATCATATCCTGGTAGTAATGCTGACTATTCAGAGGTTATACAATCCCTTTACCCTATACTTTTATTTTCACGGCTATTAGGCAATTGGGTTCTTATTTGACCTATGGAAAACGGTTTCCTTGTCGTTTAAGGAGATTATCTGTTCTTCCAGTCATGCCAGACTACAAGTAAGCATAGAACATGGAATCATAGCTATTAGAAGAACTCAAAATGCCTCATTTCATCCCTGCCAAAAAAAATACCACCATTTCTACTTTGACCTCTCTGATGTAAAATTCCTGAATGAAGGCTATCATCCATACTTGTGTTTCTCAATTATTTTGGACATAATAAAAAATCAAACACAAGCTAAGGTTTTTACACTGACTGGTGATAGAAATATCAGTTATGAATAAGATATAAGTGTATTTAAAATATCAAAATTATTTAATATTTTAGAATGATTTTTACATTTCAAATGTTTATAGGTTTAATAGCTAACATCTATTAACCACCTTCTGTGTCCCACAAACTGCTCTCAGCAATTTATTTGTAACTACTTATCTAATCTTTACAATCACTTTATTGTACAATGAAAATTCAAGTCTCAGAGAGGGTATGTAAATTGTCTGCAATCTGGGCCAACTAGTTATACAAGAAACCAAGATTCAAATTAAATCTAGGAGGGTGAAATAGACTAGTTTTGGCTATAAAAGAAAGAAGTTGGCCTAGGTGGCTTTATATATATATATAATATACATATTTTAAGCAATAACATCCTGTTGCTAAATATTATATGACATAAGTGACAGTGTATGTATGGCTGCACATGTACTTTGCTCTGTTTTGACAATAGCATAGGGAACATCTAGAACATAGTAACCTGATTTCCTTCTATCACCCAGTGGCTCCATAGGCATCTCCATATAATAACAACCCCTTAAATCGTAAGTTTGAATCCAGTTTACTTGGTTATCCACTCAGGTTTCTTCTAGAACTGAAATTCTTTGAGTTTGAGAAGATTAAATATGGAAGAAAATTGCTTATACTTCCACTTTATGGGTGTTATTTTTCATTCATGGTAAAATTTTTACTCCAAAATAGTGGTAGAGATCACAAGACAAATAGATGCTTTTCTGATCTTTTTCTTACATCTGGAAATTTTAAGCAGATAGAATGTCACAATATCCGAACAAAGTTCGTGGTTTTATTCCTTCTACATTTAATTGAAATTCTTGTAATTAGATTTATCACATTTGCAGTGTGACCTCTCAGATTTAGAGAATCTGTGCCTTTTGGTAGGTGAGTTTCTGAACATATTTAGAAAGGTGGCACTGCATCTAATAGAATAACAAACTAGATATAATAGAAACTTGGGGCTTTCGCTTAGCAATTCTCTTTTCTCTTTTGATGTTTAAAGTACTCAAGTTAATTAGAACATATTTAAATCTATTATCTGTGCCTTCATTCTAGATTCATTGCCTAAAAGTTTTTGAAATATTGTTACAGTAAAAGTATATCTCTGTTAACTTTAATGAGTGCTTCACTGCCACTTTTTGATGAACAAACATAATGCTTTTATTATCTACTTACCCTGCTTCATCTTTCTGATTTGAATTTAATAATTCATGTAGCGTTTTTGAAAACTGATAAGTTTGAGTTTTTGCATAAAATTGATATCTGTATATATTCTTTCTTTCTATACTTTTTTTTCTGGAAAAGTTTAAGACATCAAGGAACAGAAGTACTTTGGGTTCAAATTGTGAAGTGTTACAGAATATTTGTGTCCTGTCTTTTTTGTATTAATGAGCTTTAATTAAAAAGAAAAAAGACTTCTTTTTGAAGTTAGTGGGAAGAGACACAGACTGAGCAGTAATTGAGGTTTAACACTTGTTCTTATTTTAGTTTTATATATTGGTATTTCTCAATCTGTGTATTTATTAAGTATATTAAGAGAAATATTCTTTCTTTTGTATTAGGTTCCTGTCCTGAGACCACAGCAGAATGTGCCTTGGACAAAGGTGAGTATGTTTAAAATATATTTCAAAATGTTTCCATGAATAAAGTATAAAAATATTTTGATAATTATATTACTGTTGCATGCTTAGAAATATGTTATCGTTCATGTTTATATCATAGGAAATGCACTTTTGTCTAGTAATCTGTAACAGTGAGAAAATATTAGAATTAGAAATCTGGTTATCAAATGTGTATCATTGCCTGGGTACAGAAAGCCTTAATCCATACAATCTATATTAAAAGAACTCTTGGCCAGGTGCAGTGGCTCTCGCCTGTAATCCCATCACTTTGGGAGGCCAAGGTGGGCAGATTACAAGGTCAGGAGAATGAGACCATCCTGGTCAACACGGTCAAACCCTGTCTCTACTAAAAATACAAACATTAGCTGGGCGTGGTGGGTGCCTGTAATCCCAGCTACTCAGGAGGCTGAGGCAGAAGAACCACTTGAACCCGGGAGGTAGAGTTTGCAGTGAGCCGAGATTGCACCATTGCATTCTAGCCTGAGCAACAGAGCACTACTCTGTCTCTAAATGAATGAATGAATGAACTGTTGCCACTAATGCCCTTGCAAGTTAAATAATAGAACTATTCTGAGGTTGATGGAAGGTGTTTAACATGTTTTTAGTGACTCTGATGATGAAATTACTGAAATGGGACACATGTAAGTTAAATTATTAGGCAAGAACTACCTAGAACTATTTAGGTTTTGGGGGAACAAATAGAGAAACACATATAGAATTAAAATAAATTCGAAAAGAGGAAGGAATCAGGAAAATAAGCACATAAACAGCTCAGTAAACAGTATATAAACATACTACATAAAAGATAGGGTTAATAGTTAAAGGTTAATACAGGATGCCTGTTATTTCAAACTGGAATACTATTATGAAAAAAGGTGTTATTGAAGATTCTTAAAAAGATCATGAAATATAATTGAATTATAAGAGAGATGAATAGAAAATGAATAAGACAAATTAATGTTACATAGAGGGAAACCTGTGAGTTATGAGTAAGGGAGCTAAGATTCCAGAGGACAGTGGTAAAGGAGGATGACAACTGACAAAATAAGTATCACATACAGGAGCTATTAACTAACAGGCCTTCTCTAAAGAGAAATTAGCAGGGGAAAAATTGCTTGAATTAACACGTAAAGAATTTACTTAAGTTTCAGCATTAGATAGTGAGAGAAGGTTAGGTGTCATTTTTATAGAGATATTTAAATATTAAATAGATTCACAATGTCTGATAATAGTTTCTCTAAAACTTCTCTAGATCAGCTAACCCATTCAAGGTTCTTCCAACCCCATGCATGACTTGATGACTCACTGTTCTTTATTTTTCCCTGTATTAGAGTAGTTTTATATTGAAAAAAATGTTGGGCATCAATAGTTTGTAGTCAAAAGGAAAATTTAGACATACATACTATCATTAGTAATCGATGCCTATTCTATTTTATGCAAATATAACACTTGGAGAATTACAGTTGTACATACTCATATTTTTAATTTGGCTTAAAACATACTGTACATGTTCTTCAGTGTTAGTCATATGTAAAAAGAAAGAATCCTATAAATGCACATGTTAATAATTTTCTGAGGTCATAACATTGAAAGCTCTCCCAGATATTTTCTTGCCACTATTTTTCATATAACTTTTTGGTCATTTTCTCTATCTGTAAAGAGACTAATGTGACTTTAGAATATCCAGAGAAAATAAGCCAGCTGATGTGCATGCCAGGCAGGGAATGAATGGCTCCAGGCACAAATCTCTGTTGTGTCAAGGCTTTGGCATGACATTTGGCAGGGACTAAATCAAACATAGCACAATGCAAATAATCTCAGTTTCCCATAGATGTGCAGCTTCAACCTCGAACCTGCTGTTAGTTAGTACCACTCTTTTCTCCTGATATTCCAGAGGATGACATTTCTGGTAATAAATTGAAAACTAGAACATTTCCTAGGTGTTCTTACAGTGTGAGGCAGTGGGGTGATCATGGCTTTGAAATTGGACCTTCCTGGGTTTGAAGTATGAGTCTGTCACTTAGTAGCTGTGGAATCCTGGAGAAGCTACCTAAGACATAAAATGAATTTATCAAGAATTATCACAGGGGTTGTTGTGGCATTAAAATGATAAAATTAGTCTAAAGAATTTCTTATATCTGTTATATAATAAACATTTAATGGATATTATTTTACATTTCTGTAATCAGATTTTGTTTTAAACTTCTTAATCATCTCAATCATCCTATTAATAGAAGAGGAATGACTCTAATATACATTTGTAAGTTTTGAGTTATGTAAGCACATATGATATTTGTCTTTGTCTTTAGGTGGGCACTCTTGGAAGTGGAACAGTTTTTACAAACTTCCTGCTTATTTTTCAAAATTGTATTTCTTATTTAAAGAGTTACATGTCATACATAAAGGGTTGTCATGTTTCACAAACCTATCTTGAGTGCATTTGATTTTAGTTTTTTTTTTAGTATGATCAAGGATGGAACACTATATTATAAAATGTAGAAGGATTAGAAAAAAAATATAACCCCATAGCATGCTTATACTATTTTAGTTTAGTTCAAATGTTTCTTTCAACTCTCATTAATAAATGATTATGTGTCATATGTGGCACTAGGTGCTAAATGTACAAAGAAGAAACAGATATATTCTCTGCCTTCATGGGAGTTACAATCTTACATGGGAAGAGACATGTAAATACATTATTTTTAACACAGTGTGATAATATGCTACAATGGAGAGTTGCTCATGGGATGGGGTTCGTGCAAATATAAAATAAATTTTAATCACTCTGGCTTCTTGGAGGGGTTAACACCTCATGTGTTTTAAAAGATGATGAAGAACTGGCCAGATACCAGTCATATATAGAGGCATGAGGGTGAGATGGTGTCAAGAATGCATAGTATTTAATTATGGGATTGTGTCTATTTAAAAATATATAATTTATAATTCATTCTGTGATATGATAAAAAGAACTAAAGCACCGGGGGAGTTAATAAACTTATTAATCCAAAACTATCAAAAAAAGAATAAGGGCAGTTAAATCAGGAATCTTTTGTCAAACAATGATAGTAGCAATAAATGTACAGATTTGAAATTGGGGAGCTGAGTCCTCCTGCTTTGTTCTTAAATGTAGATTTAGATTATAGTTAGGTTATTTTTACAGAGCTAAGATTTATGAATGATGTGTTTATCATATTGTTATTTTTAACATGATAATGGGAAACAATAAGGAAGGTTTTATAAAAGTTGATAAAATGTGGGGTATTTTACTGTTACTAGAATTATAATTTTGAAGATTTTTTAAAGAAGACTGTGTTTTTAAAAAATTATGAAGTACTACTATAATACCATACCCCTTTTATACATACTTATGTAAAACAGATACCTATGGGTACCAGTTATATATTTGATGTGCTTTTGTTAGGGGACAGGATTTCAGGAAAGTGCTTAGAAAAAGACTGAAAAGAAACACACCCATTATTATTAACAGTTATTATCTCTATGTCATGGGTATACACTGTGGGTGGAAAGTCTCATAAGTGCTGAAGCAGGAGACTGAAGTCTTGGCCAGTTCCTGTTTAATAAATAGAATATAAAAAGAAGAATATAGTTAGGAATAAGTAGCATGAGTGATTAGATCTTAATCTTATTGAAAATTAAGCCTTGATGAAAGCTTTCCTGTACTTTATGCATGATCATCTAGGAACTTCGAGTTGTTGTGGTCAGGGACTGATAAGGAACACTATGGAATGTGGCCACGAGGCAAGAACATTTATACCTGTCGAACATCAACTGATGGTGATCAGCAGGGACAACCTGTTGAATGCCAAAACCAAAGCCCTCTATCACACCTGCATAATGGTTGCTGGAGGGCATCTACAATGTCTACTGTAGTGCCAGTGCTTGGGGAAGCACCCACTACTCAGCAGACATGGCAGGAAACATCCCCTGTCCTTGGGCAAGTGGGAGAACACTCCATTCTCCCACACTCTTGAGGAAGGACTGATATCAGTCAGCCCAACCCTCAGGTACTTGGGGCTTCATTGTCTCTGTGTGGTGCTGTGCTGTATTTGTTACAATCTGTGTCTGCTTTCACTCCAACTTCGGCACCTGGTTCCTCTTCTGTAGATAGGAAGAGATAGCATAATTCTTGAAGTGTTTGTTCTTTCTTGATGGGCATAACATAAAGTGCTGACGCATTTCGTTTTCCCCTCCTTTGGCTACTTGCAAGCCCTGGGCCCCTTGTTCCTTAGACATGTGATTTGCTTGACCCTATGAAAAACTGTGGAGAACTCAGCCTACGTACCCTGCCTCGCTGTTTTGTACCCGATGAAAGTAAGAGTGTCCAGTCACTACTGGTCTCTATGTACTGGTGGTAGTAGTCTCCTGGGCCCAACTCTTTTTCTCTTAATTTCAGTGTATCGTGTCTTTATTTCTACAGTCTCTCATCTCCCCACCTGTAGAGAATACCCTCTAGACCCAGCAGGGCTGAACCCTGCATACATATGTGTAATTTCTATTGTTTCTTGAAAGTTTCATGTGTTTTATATTTTATATGATGAATCCATTGAATAACCTCCAACACAGCTCCCATAACGCTTGCCTGATGATGCTCATACCTATGTGTAATCCCCTCTCCTTGAGTGGGAGCAGAACCTCTGACTTGCTGCTAACCAGTTGACTATGGCAAAGGTACAGGATGTCACTCCTGTTAATATGTCATGTTATATGGCAAAGATGATGGAATGACAATCTCCTATGTTATGTTATATGAGACTACATCTTGTGAGTAGACACATTCCTGCTCTCCTTCTGACCATGAAGAAGTATGCCACTATGTTGTGAGATGGTATATGGTGAGGGCCACATGGCAAGAAACTGGTTGCCTCTAAGAGACCAGAGTGGCCTGTAGATGTTGAAAGTGACCTTCAGCCAACAACCAGCAAGAGGTGTGAAGGCTCGTAATCCTACAGGTATAAGGAAAT